TCATTCGCCGAATGTAAACAAACTATGCGATTGCATAAACACTTATCTATGGCATGGAACACCAAAATCCAATAAATAATTTTAAAAAATGTGTTTCTCCAGAGGAAAACCGGAGGTTTTCAGGATTTTTTAGAAATATTCGGATTTCCGGATATATCCAGAAGACTTTCATTATTAATATGTAACTTTTATTGTTTTATTGGCTTTTGAACCATATCTAACTAATAATCCTGCCACACAAGTTGTAAATCATATTACCATATCGAATTATATAATGCACAAGCTACTTGTGAGCTGCAAGCGAGCATACCTTTATCCTTATTATATTTTTCTTTATCTTACCTAATCTAACCTGATAAGTTTCTAATTTTTAAATTTTAATTATGTTAATAATAATAAATAAGGAATACATACAAAAAACAAGAAATATAATATTTATCTGGGTCTTCTTTTTTTTTCCTGTTAACTGTTCATGAAACTTAACCCATTATTTTTATACTAATGGTACTACTACACTAAATAATTGTTTTTTAAATTAAATAATTCACCAAAGGACACAGAATAATAGCACATAAAAAAGCAGAAAATAGCTTATAACTAACAATTTTACTGGCTTTCTAGTTATACGATAAAAGTCATTAAAATTACAGCTAAGTTCATCAACGTGTTTCTTGCAGGAAACTAAAAGTAAAATAAACAATTCTTTGTACAGAAAACAAAGTAATATGATATGTTATTTGATAGGTTAAAACTTTAGCTTTCTAAAGGTTAGAAGTGATATATTTTTATTGTCAGAGAGAAATATTGGCAATTTGTGAAAGAAAGGATGTGACAGGTGGGTGTGCCAAGAGGGGTCTAATTTTCTATTTTATGGCTCTGTAACCAAATAACATGAAGGCTATAAAAAAATTAGGCTTTGTCTGAGAAATAACAATGTTATAGTAAGTAACTTACATTAAATTCCATACTTCTGGGAGGGGTGGTAAATAAATTAGAGAAGAGGGGACACCTAGAAAGCGAATGTTACAATTCTCAGACTACAGTGAGATTGTGAATTTTTCTAACATTTCTTTATAAAATTAAGAACTTAACACTTGTATAATATTTAAATTTGATCTATTATCTATGTTTTTATTCTAAGTTCATTCATATACCATGATAATAAAATAGTTGAATTAAATTTTGAATGCAACTCTTAAAGAAAATGGCAGGACAAGCACACATTTTGACCTTCCCATAGTAAAAGGGTTAACCAACAAGATATAACAACAAACATTAAACCATTTGAAAGTAGCATGTTTTATAGCCATCAAATATTACATTACCAGTCAATAAGTAAGCAGGAGTTGAAATCTTTTATCCTGTTTTCTAAATATGTATCATTCACATTAATTTTTATCAAATTGTTTCATGATAGTGGTATCTCTATGGCAGCACATGAACATCATATAGTAAAACTATTTCAGACAAGTATTAATCTCACCCACAAGTTGATAAAACTTGTACATTATAATTTTCCTATACTTAAAATGTATTTCCAACAGGTACTTAATTCCACTCACATGCATAGCTATTCTCATTCAGTGCTGCACTCTATTCGCAAAACTTTTTCGCATGCCACAAGCCTTTTATTACCATGCACCCCTCGATTTACATGGTTTAACTGATTCTCGCATGCAAACTATCATGTGACAAACTTCCACCAATAGAAGCACCACATGATTTGTGTGACTCCCTCTATGCTATTCTACCTAACAATTACTTTGAGTTTAGGCAGAAACTTATACCCCAGTTGACAGTGGGGATGAAGGGTGGGAAGTGTGAGTGGAAGTAAGTACCTCTCGGAAATACACTTCATGTATGGGAAAAATTATAACTTCTGACAAAGTACCTTACTTCTGCTCACATACATAGCTAGAATCTCACACTGAATAGATGGAGGGACTGGTTGAAGGGAGAAGTATCCTTCGAAGGCATCCGAAGGACACTCTAACGAGGGAACCCTCTAATAAGAGGATTATATGTGGGAGACTGCACCACTTCTATGCCAGGTATACTCTTTGCCAGATATGGAAAAAGTATGGCAAATCTGGGTGGAAAATTGTGAGGAGCACATTCCAATGGGAGAGAACACAGGTTGGACTGTGTTCCGAACCACAGCGTATAATAATTTCAATTTCACTTATGAAGGGAATGTGGGTAAATTAAAGGATGTGCTCCAAGGTATAGCTTCCAAAACTCAACCACCAAGAACTAATATCTATGCAAGGATAGGACAGAGAGAGAAATCCCACTACCAATCTGTGAACAGGGCACATATGAGAAGAGTGATGTTTATATATATATATATATATATATATATAGTGTGTGTGCGCGTGTGTGAGTGTATATAAATATATCGAACCGGATGAATAGAAGCAAAACCAGATGTCCCTATAATGTGATATGTCCCAATCAAATCAAGCAGACTGGAATCACCCCAGGCACAGTAACATCCTCTGCATAAAGACACTGAGGAATAGTGCAAGAAAAGGAAGTGGAGCAATCAACAAGTGCACCCACCATGA